CTTACTTTCATTCAAATAAGGGGCAATGTAGTCTTTACTTATCAAATCTTAATTGTGCTAAAAAAACCTAGAAAGACAAGTATTTTGGGACGGGGGAAGTATTGTACAATATCTATGCCAGCCACAAGAAAATAAAAAATAAAAACCCCAACATCATCCATTTATTCTTTCTTTCCTCTCTCTCCGTGGATGGGGCTAGTAGCCTAGCACTACGGCCACAAATATGACGACATTACTGACTCGGATATAACTATGTTTATGTTACACATCAGCAAGCTAAAATTTCATATATTCTATATTAGATTTACTTATTATGTATTTGAACAAACATTATTACACCATGAGTTTTTATCTTCTTGTTTGCAAAAAAATACTTAAGTAAATGAAGGAAAGGAGTGCGGGCTCACGAAATGCTTAGATGATTAAATAAGTTGATTGGAGACCAAATCAAGATCTTCCCCAAGTCTACTCCTACCTCACCATATTACTTTTAGTCCATAGAAGGCAAAATATGAAGTTCTAAACATTGTGAATTCGGATTCGGGCATGCTGACAGCATCAACTTCAAACGGACCTAACCGCTAATCTAGAAGGAATCTTGGGGACCATGAGTACTTTCAAATAGTTTTGGCCTCATGTCAAAAATTCCTAACAAACTGTTTGGAATCTGCAAAACAAACCACACCTTATGCAGTCTGAGTCTAATTTGAGTATTGTGACTTGTAATTGTGTCATGAGCTAAACCCAAGGGGTGGACGTCCAAAGGCTAACCCTAGAACGTTTCCAATCATATTTATTCAGTAGCCGTCATTGTTTAGAGTGGTGTTTTGTTTAGATTATTTTTGCCATTGTAATTTCGCCGCTAGTTCGGTTTGTAGAACCTCAACTTTGAAATCTTAACCATTCATTTGCAATTTGAGTTGTAATTTACCTCGTTCTTGCTTGTGTTTTTCGATTCACATGTAGGGATTAGGCTTCTCGATGAGATCAAATGGATAACGTATAGTTAATAACAAGAGGAGATGTGATGCTGTGATTGCAGGGTTTCAATCATGTTAATCAAAACCGAATCGTGTGTGTCAAATTTCTACCGAATCAAGAGTTATCAACATCTATCGAAAGATCGTGTGTGTCAAATTGCTCGACTGCCAGCTCAAAAAAGCTTGGCGGAGGTTACCGAGCCCACGGCCAGCTTGCGCGTGCTCTTGCATGCGCGGATGCACCAAGCAAGAAGCACCCAAAAAATCCAGGAATTCTTGAATGGAAAACTAACAAAATCGAGCTCCCTGCAGTACCAAGCGGTGCTTAAAGGGGCAAAAAAAAATCAGCTACTCCTAGAAATCCAAGGGAAAGAAAAAAAAAACAAGTGGCTCCTAGCAGAACAATGGGCTTATGGACACGCATGAAAAGATAGCGGATTTGACACGCACAAGTGGAATCGAGAGACAAGCAAGCTAAAAGTTTTTGGATGGTTTTCCCTACCATTTAACCCCCCTCCTAATAGGTTTGTTTGGTCTATATGATCATACTATCTTCAGCACAAAGTTATCCAACGTGGAGCAAATTTAGGATGAAACATCGATTCAGTCTGTCAACTCTAGGAGGAATAAGCACTATAGTAGCTGCCATAGTTAAAAAAAAAAACAAGAAGAGTACAGTGATAAGCATTCTATATGAACACAAATATCCAGTATAAATTGTATGTCACTTTTTACTACCCCTAGGAGGCGCCTATAAATCGGGCGCCCGATTTTTCCGCAAAAAATAGGCGTTGTTTCACCCTTTGTAAAAACAATATTTCAGCACTTAGCGAAAAAATGTTTCAGTTCTTAAAAAAAGTGAAACACAATGAGATCGCTAGATGAAACAATTTGATTCAATGTATGCAACAAAACAATTTAAGACATTGAAACACTTAAACCCCGTATACATCAAAATAAACCCCGTGTACATCAAGATGAAAATATTAAACACTATCTAAAATCCACTGCAACATTTGATCCATACACAAAGAAACATCATGAGTACACTAGCTGAAACATTGCTTTTGAACCATTGAAACATCAATAAACCTCATGTGTCAAAAATAGAAATATGGAACACTATCAAAATATCCACTGCAACATTTGATCCAAACACAAAGAACATCACGAGTACAAAAAACACAGAAACTGGTCTAGACTGCATCTTCCTCCACTCCGACGAACACAGGGTTACCCGCGTAGGCCTTCTCCACCGCCCCCATCATTGGATCTGGAGGAGGAGAAGGGGGAGGGCGGCAGAGATGAGGAGGGAGTGCTCCCAGGAGAGAGAGGGAGCTGGCGAGCCTCCTCCACCACCACCGCCGCCACCACCTCGCCGCGCGTGCGTCACCCTCCGCGTCGGCCACCACCACGGGGACGAAGCCGGCGTCGACATCGAGGAAGACGAAAAGTGGCAGCAGATCCGACGGAGAAGATAACGCAAGCGAGATTGACGGGAGAGAGGAGGCAGCACGGGCGAGATCGGCGGGGGAGAGGCGGTGGCGCGGGTGAGGGAGCTCGCGGGAAAGGAGGTGGCGCCGACGGGAGAGAGGAGGCGACGCGAGCGAGGGAGGCGCGGGGAGCCCAAGTGACGCGGAATGAGACGCGTAGGCGCCCGATATTTCTCTCATGGGACACCCATGTATAAGGATTATCGCTACCCCTATCGCATACAGATTCGACATTTTTCTAGCTAACATTTCACAGAACAACAGTACACATAGATGTGATGACTGGTGAGAACTAATGTTTAGGACGCCAAACCTAGTTGTAAAGTGATATGTGTATACTCCCTCCATTTCATAATATAAGGCACAACCACTTTTCTTAGATGTTCCATAATATAAGGCATGCATGCAAGCATACAATTAACTATGACATCTTCTCCATTAAATTATAACTTTTTAAAATCCTCCACTCTCATATTATCTAATCCTATTGGATGCATGCATTATATTTATTATGATGATCCAAACTATAAGATGATAATCATTATTTTTTTGTCTTTGGGTTAAGAGTGGTTGTGCCTTATATTTTGGAATGGATGGAGTATTATTTACAGACATCACAATCTGATCAAGATAAGAAATTAGTATAAAACACTTGAAAGTACGACCAGGCTTATCAAGCTTGGCGTATCCCACGGGAGTGCCTGTGAAACTTTTGCAACCAGATCAAAGTGTCCTCTCAATTTTTTTTATGAAAAAACAAAGTTGTTTTGCTCTCTGTTAAACAATAAGGCTACATTACTCACGTATCATAAGCTTTGCCATGTTTTGCCTACTAGACGAGCTATGAGGTGGAGATGGTTGCCGTTGGCTGAGCGCAACGCCGCCTGTAGAGAGTTGCTGCACATGGGGTGCCTGCTGCAACCGAGGTGGCTGCGCCCAAGCTCCGGTCGTAGAAAGCTGCTGCTGCTGCTGTTGCAGCAAGGGAGGTTGCTGGCGCCAAGCACCATAGACAAAGGGCTGTAGCAACTGAGGTTGCTGCTGCACAACGGGCGGCTGGCACCAAGCACCGTAGGTACAGGGTAGAATGCCACTCTTGTTGGGGGTGGCCATCGCTTTGGATGAGTGCCACTGCCATTGGCCTGTAAGTTGGGGGCGAGAGAATTGAAATCACCAGAAGCTGCTGTCGTCTTTGGACCGTTCTCAAAGTATATGTTCTCTCTGTGTCATCTGGTAACAAGCGGTGTCTCGAAATCCTACAAAAAAACAGTTATATTCATGAATACCATCATTCTCATGTTGTGTTGTAAGAGTTAAACAAGCGACTGGAAAAAATTGAACTAGTGGCAAGAATCAATATAAGATAATTCAAGAGTAGCAGATTTAGCAACATCAACAAGAAGATATTTCGTTTTTCCAGATTGAATTTAAGCTTACTCCAATAGGGAGTTTATGTTCAACCCCACTATGACCATTTGGATTTTTTTTTAAAAAAAAAAATATCATGATATCTTTTTTGCCGGGTCAGCCAAAGATTGGCCGACCAATCTATCTATTAACTTATTAAAGGAATAGAAAAAGGAGTCTCTACGTTCACTCTCACGGCCTAGAAATTCTCATATTAATCGGAGAAAAAGAAAAACAGAGTCCATATAAAAATATAATTTAGAAGTAGTTGAAATTCAGAATTAAAAAGTAAGGAATACTGGAAGAGGACACTAGAGTCCATATAGAAATATAATTGAGAAACAATAGAAATTCGGAATTAAAAATAAGGAATATTAGAAGTAGAGTATAGAGTCCATATAGAAATACAATTAAGAAATAATAGAAATTCGGAATTAAAAATAATGAATATTAGATGTAGAGTATAGAGTCCATATAGAAATATAATTAAGAAATAATAGAAATTCGGAATTAAAATAAGGAATATTAGATGTAGAGTATAGAGTCCATATAAGAATTTAAAACTAACTAAAATTCGGAATAAACATAATAAAATTAAAAGGAGAGTTTAGAGTTCGTATAAAATACAATTTACAAATAACTAAAATTAAAAATTTAAAAAACATGGGAAGAAGAGTCTAAAGTCAATATAAGAATACAATTTAGAAGTAACTGAAATTCGAAATTAAAAATTAAAGAATATTGTAAGATGAGTTTAGAGTCCACATAGAAATACAATTAGAAATAATAAAAAAATCAGAATCAAAAATAAATAATATTGTAAGAAGGGCCAGAGTGTCTATATAGAAATACAATTTACATATAACGAAAATTCGAAATTAAAAAAAATATTAAAAGACGAGTCTAGAGTCTATATAGGAATATAATTTACAAATAATTAAAAATTTGATATTAAAATTAGTTAATAACTAACACGTATATAAAATACAATATGAATATTATACATTAGTAGTTTCGTAAAGGTAGTACAAAATTTAAAATTATGTTGCCATTTTAATATATTTGAATAATACATTGAGAAATCATATATGCTATTATATGAGAGAAAATATAATGATACTAATCGTGCAATCTGCGCGGACCACCATGCTAGTTTTATTAAGTATGAAAGAAAATAAAGTTCAAACAAATAACAGTTACAACGACAACAAAGTGCCGCGTCAGGCCGGCAAGCCGCGCCTAACAAAACTAGCTGAAGAAAGAAAAACAGCGACCCAAACTTCAGAAGCTGATTACTCGCTACATTGGGAGAAGATCCCGGCTACCTCCTGGATGTCCTGAACTAGCCGCTGAGCTGATTTACAAATGTTTTGAAAAACTGTCGCATTTCTCTCCTTCCACACCAGCCAGCAGATTAACATGAAAAGACAATCAAAATCGCTCCTATAGCTCGTCCGGCATGTCGATCTGATTTTCAGCCACCATTCAAACAGAGGACACACAGTTTCTCTTGGCAAGGGGAAATCTGCATTCAGCCACGCCCTAACACGCTGCCACACTTCCGTCGTGAAATCGCAGGACACAAATAGATGATGGCCGTCCTCGTTCTCGCGCCGGCATAGCTGACAGACATCATCATGTGGCCAATTACGCTCTGCCAGATTTTCCGCCGTCAAACATTTGCCTTTGAGCGCTAGCCACATGAAGAAACGTATCCTCGACGGAGCCTTTGAGTGCCACAACAGTTCACCAAAAGGACAATCTTCGCAGGCCAAGAAGAAGGCCTTGTACGCGGAGGAAGCAGAGTACTGACCATCCACTGACAATTTCCACAGGATCACGTCGTCTGTCTTCCAGTTCCACCCCCCTCAATTCATCCCATAGCTGAAAGAACTCCCCCAAGGCTGCGTTCGACAGGGAGCCCTGAGGTCCTTCGTTCACCGTTCGGAACTTTACAATTAGAGATAACTTACCTGCATCGATATTTGATAAAATTGGAGTGCTTGGCAGATAACTATTATGTTCCAAACTTTGAGCTCCACTATGTGCATGGTTGACTATCTCATGAGACAACCTGAGGTAACAAGTTCTTTTTGCCGGGTCGGCCGAAAGGTTCGGTTGACCAATTTCATTAAGATTGGGAGTAAAATAAACGAAAATTGTTTGCTTACAACGACAGAACGCTGTCGCAGCGGCAGTGAGGCAGAGCCTTCCTACCATTCAGCGAAAACAAAACAGAACACAACACAGACTGATAGGTCAGCTATCGCCGTTGCCGTTGTTGCTACATTCAGCGAAAACTCCCGCCATCTTCCAGATCATTAGTTCCTCCTTTATGTCATGCACTAGCTGTTCAGGTGTTCTTGATCTGTGCTCGAAAATCCTCCCGTTGCGCTCTTTCCATATGAACCAGCATGTGAGCATGAAAACAGTGTCGAAGAGCTCCCTGTAGCCCGTCCGGAAATGCTGCCTAGCTTCCAACCACCAGGCTGCGAGACTGTCGCTTCTTCTTTCAGGCAGAGGAAAGTCGATGGAGATCCAGTTTTTCATGATCGTCCAAACTCGCCCTGTAAACTGACATGAGACAAATAGGTGCTGGCAGTCCTCCTGTTCTCGCTGACATAGAGCACAGCTCTCCTCATGTGGCCGTAAGGCATCGCCCCCTTGCAGCAACCCAGAGGAAAAAACGAACCTTGGCAGGGGCTTTGGTTTTCCAAATCAGTTCTCCATGTGGACAAGCTTCTCTCGCCATGAAGAAGAGATCATATGCCGATGACACTGAAAAAAGACCGCTCTGGGATGGCTTCCATCTGATTTCGTCTTCATCATGATTGAGAGTGATCTGTTGCAAAGTATCCCACAACTGAAAATATTGCCCCATAGCTTCAGTAGATAGCGAGCCCTGCAGGTTCCTTACCCATCTATTGTTGGTCATGGCTTGGGCCACCGTCAGTCTCGACCGTCCCACAAATGAGAAAAGGATTGGCCATTGCCAAGAGATGCTTCCTTCGTTCAGCCAGTTATCAGTCCAGAACTTTGTGTTCTTACCATCTCCAATATCAGTAAAACACACTACCTCCGTCCCAAAATGTAAACATTTTTAGCTATGAATCTGGACACATAGGACACATGTGTGTCCATTGTCCAGATTCCATGTGTTTCCAGATTCATAGCTAAAAATGCTTACATTTTGGGACGGAGGTAGTATATACTTAAAAAAATGTGGAAAGTGTAAAATCAATCAAACACACACTGTTGGTGCACAGAAATCATCACGGAAGAAAGTTCTCACAGTAGAACTATAGAAAAGAAAACTCACCTTGCACGTTTGTTGGCAGTTGCACACGGATTTGATTCAGCCGACACATGGATGTGTTCACAAAAGGGAGAGAGAATTAGGTGGTCAAAACTCTTTGAAATAGCAACTATTAGTATAAATTACAGTACTTACTGGTGCTACTGTTATCTGCTTGTGAGATCTGGCAATAAGCTGTTTCGAGACCTATACAGAAACCATTATGTTCATAAACATTAGCATAGTCATAATTATCTCGTAGAGAATTGGCAAAGCTACACCAGTAGCAAGAAGATATTTAGAAGAACTAGTCAAAAGAATGTAAGACAATATTTAAAAGAAGACAAAATTCATGTAGTAAGACAATAAGACCAGTAGCAAGAAGAAGATATTTAAAATAATAGTAGACGAAGAAGAAATCTGGACAGATCGGGTTGCCTGAGTGAACGCTGTCCTATGTAAGTAGAAATCCACCTTGTTTAGATTTGGGGGGTGGGAGGGGAGCGCAGATGTACGAGATGGTGGCCTGCACCGTGTGGCCGTCCCTCGACGGTGTTGGCCAGGATGACCGAGGCCGGCCATCGGGTAGCGCGGCGGCGGGTTGAAGGACTCATCGTGGCTGGCACTTGCAGAGACGGTTGGCGGATTTGGGGTTCTGCTCCCTTCCGAAGCCCTCGACAAACCTTCAGTTCTTCATCTCATCGAGCTTGTATTGATGAACACGATCGATCGGCTGGAACCGGCGGGTTAGGGGCGGGGCATCCTGAACTGCAAGTACTCAGCTCAACATCGAGATGAGGCTTTAGCTGCAAGTACCCAGGGCGTCGGTCGTGGACACTGGACAGTCGCCGCGACCTGGAACACGCTCGGGGGCTCTCCGTGACTCCGACCGAGGACCAAACTACCAAAGCCCCACTCCGAACAGAACCAACAACCCGGCCGACAAAAGTCCTAGACGGACTGCGGCGCGCGGCAAGCCTGTAGCTCGTCCTGAGCCTTTACCATCATCGTGCATGTGGTGAATACCGTGTTAACTGGAGTACTACTAGGAGAACCATAACACTATACTACTACTACGTGATGTTTCAGAAATAGAACATGATGTCCCAGAAATGACCAGTAGCTACTTTGTGTTTCCCATATGTTGCACGAAGAGGGCATCTCGAAAAGGATCCATCAAGACTGTAGAGAAACAAAACAAGACAAACACATGAGTGTCTCCTATCGATATTTCATACCACTAAATCTGAAGGCGTATGCTGAAACTTCCCTTGCACAGTATTAATTTTGGTACATACAAAGATATGTGGAGACCAACATATAAAATAGCATTATCTAGCGTCCTGCTAAAATCAAATTAATCTCTGGCTTTTACAATGGGATCCTTCAGTATACTATACAACGAAACATTTGCAGTTTATGAATTAGATAGGAGTGAGTGTTCAAAGTTACCACCATCTAATTATATATCAACGCAATATAATCAAACTGTGCAAACTTACTAATAACTGGAAAAATGCCAATTTATTAAGTATACATAAAATCTGATTGCCATGTACCTCAATTTAAGACGGCCATTCACTCTGACGAACAAAATTTGGAAAACTGCAAGCAAAACAGGTTCATCTAGAGAACAATCCATGGCTCCAAGCTATCACAGTAAGACAAGCCAATAAGCATGGACAAGTTGTACTTACAGTTGGCTTTTTCTCTTCAAAGGCATCGTACTGAATTCCAGCACATCACAATCAGCCAGTGGTTTTTTTGCTAACCATTTCTACAGATTAATCAAACTATGATAGTCAACTACTGTACTTAGCACCGACGCAACAGCAAATCATTAGGTACAAGCCTACAGAATATCTCGTGAGCTATCCTCAACAAAGACCTCACTGACAGCAGGTTGACTTCAAGGATGCTCCTAAAAAAGGTATACACAAGCACTGTCATTTCTCCCGCTACTTCAGTGAGTTGTATAGGGTATACCAAGGTAGTAAAGCCAAGTGTGAAGCTTGAACTTACTGGGATTGAATCGAAAACACAACCAGTTGGAGCAGCGGTTCATGATAACATCGTTGTCCACAAAGAGAGCGATAGAGGTTGCTCTTTAGTTACATATGTCATCCAACAGTCCATCAGGCTGAGACAGCAAACTCTGTTTAGATGACATGCTGAAGAAAATGCAGTAGATTGTATTTTAAGTGGAAGTACTTACAGTGGGTACTTGTTAACCATTTCCAGAAGTGCTTCCATAAATTGGGGCAGGAACCACGAGAAGTGTTGGGCCCCAATGAGATCAAGTTCTAGCAGTGATATATCAACATTAATCCCTCCTACCTAAAAGGCAAAACAATAAGTTTAAAAATGGAAATGCCTTTCTAAGGTCACAATTTTTTTAGATAATGGAATAAATATTCTAAGGTCACAAAAGGTATGCCAATGTGATGGATAAAGGGTGGAGGGGTGGGAGTGATTAGTCAATGTGAACTGAGGTTCGTGTGGAGGAGATTAAGGCTAATCTACGAACAAACGGTTAGATTGGTCCCAAGTCCCAACCCCCAACAGGATATTTTTTTTCAAATCTTTTTAAATATGAAAACAAATATGCACTAAACCATCAGGGTGAAACCTTACAAATACATCAATAAACTAAAAGGTTGCAGTAAGCTTTATTAAACTGCATACTATTTATTAACTGCAAATTTAAATTGTATGTTGTAAAAGTTAAGGCGATCTGGTCACCTTCTCATATTAAGTAATGACATCATTTGTATGTACCTGTGAGTATTCAGGACCATGTACGATTAAATGCCGGAGGTAGATAGCAACATATAGGTCCTCACTGGTAAATGGAAGTCTTTGCTCGCCCTGCATGCCTTTTTCGAGAGCACTTTGCTTTTGTTCTAGGCTGAGGTCCTTTCTCTTCCAAAATATATCTAACAGAAAATTATCATCACTTACAAGCAGATGGAATATAAACTCAAATAAGTCACGGTTTGTGTATTGCAGAAATTTCTCTCTCTCCTCTGGGCTAAGTGTTTTGTAGAATTTATAGAAGTCCTCCAAAAATCCTCTCCTCTTCGCTGGGCGAGCAAATGCTGGATGGTTTCTTAGAACAAAGAGATACTTATCCCGTCCATCAGGATCTTCAGCAGATGCTGGAAAACGTATACGCTGAAAAAGTTCGTCGAAAAATGGTGGTCTTTGACCATCCATCCTTTCAAACCATGATAATAGGCAGTTCATTAAGCTGATGTGATCTTGATCTATGTTATCTGGGGTGGCTGGGTGTGATGGAACTTTCATTATCGTACATTGTGTGGGTTCTCTTTCAGTAACAAACATGTGCTTGTCAAAGTCACCAGCCCAACTAAGCCCTCTTTCATGAGCTACTGAAACCTCTTCAAAATATCCACCAATTAAGGACAGGCCAGTTCCTGTAGGCACATCAACAACTACCTCAGGATTAATGTTACCAACGAAAGAACCAGCGCTGAATCTGAACTGTTCGATGATTTCGTCCTTGTTTGCTGACAAAAAGTCCTCAAGCGGCACAAGTGTAACAGGAAACTGGAAGGCGCTAAACTTTCTGCTTTTGGAAGCACCTTCCCCAACTCCACCCACAGAAATCTTTCGCTTACGTTGCCTGGCATCTTGTTGCTGAAGCCAAGACGGCTGTTGCTGCTGCTGCTGCTGCTGCTGCTGCTGCTGCAGGTTCTGATGCTGATACTGCTGCTGCAGGTTCTGCTGCTGCTGCTGATACTGCTGCTGCAGGTTCTGATGCTGATACTGCTGCTGCTGCTGCTGATACTGCTGCTGGTGATGATTTTGATTATGATGCTGATGCTGCTGATACTGCTGCTGCTGGCGGTGGTGCTGGAAATGAATTCGATTCTGATGCTCATACTGCTGCTGGTGGTGGTGCTGCTGATACTGCTGGTGGTGATTCTGCTGCAGTGGGAAGCTATCCTCTCCTGGCACTGGCATAACGCTATTAGGATGAGACAAAGCAACCTGTCCCCCATGGTATGTTTGGTTCGTGGAAAGCAAGTGGCCCACATTGGGATCAAACAATGGTCCGTGTGGATGCTGCTGGAACTGCTGAGCGATGGTAACGTCGAATTGACGAAAGTATTGTTGCTGGTGCTGTTGAAGAAAACTTCCCTCCCCATGTCCCCCAATTTGTGCCGGAACACCGGCATTTTGGGGGAAAGAGAGGCCCCCGAAAGATGAGTAGTGGCCGGCGGCTTGATAGTGGGGAGCACATTGGGGATGATGGAACGACGAGGACGAGGATGAGGGGCCATACTGTGGAAGGTGAGCTCGACGAGGGTTTAGCCCCGTAGGGTTTTGGGTCCCTTGGCCCTGAGATGGCCGGCGAGATCCCGACATCGGCAGGTGGCTTGGAGAAGGGCGATTCCCCTGACTTTGAGGGAACTCCGCGTTGTGTTTCTCCTCCGCGGCGATCGGCGATGGCCGGCGGCGACCGATGCGGAGGGTGGCCGGGGCCCGGGAGGGAGGGAGAGATGGGTGGAAGGAGCCGAGGAAAAACCGAGGAAGACAGCGTTGCGGCCTTTGCGTGGGCTTGTAGCTGCTCCGCTCCCCCAGGTTCTCGGGTTTGGATTCGATTTGGGCCACCACCTCAGTCGTTTTTTAAGGAAAAAGTACATCCAAGGTCCCTCAACTTGTCATTCCTCGACTTGTCATCATCTTTCGGTGGTTTTTAACCCCGCTTTTATCTAATGTGACGCCTAAGTCAGTGTGGGACCTACATATCAGCGTGGCCACGTCAGCCTCCTCTCTTTTTCCTCATCTCTCTCTTCATCCGGTGGGTGTGCCGCGTTGTCGTGACTGCTCTTCCTCCTCGCCGTCGCCGTGCCCACCGCAGCGCACTTCCTCCTCGCGTTCCGGGCCTCCCACAGGCCGTTCTCCTCCATTGTGCAGGTGTCGCTCTCGGCGGCGGGGTCCCTCTGCCTCTCCTCCTTCTTCCGCCGCATCGGTCTCCGCCGCCTCCTCTACCTCGACAAGCTCCGCACCAAGAGCGACCGCGTCAGGCTCAACTACACCGCGCACCTCTCCTTCTCCTTCCGCCTACTCGCCCCCCTCGTCGCGCCATGCTTCGCCGCCGAGGCCGCCTACAAGGTGTGGTGGTACGCCACCTCCGACGACCGCGTCCTTTTCTTCGGCAACGACGTTCTCAGCATCGTGGTCGCATGCTCCGTCGAGATGGCGGCATGGATGTACCGCAGCGCCGAACGCCGCCGCCGACGCGAGGCTGTCGCGCTTGTCGGCCACCGCCATCGCCGTGGTGCCGCGCCTCCTCGCCCTGGCGTGGCGTGCCAGCTCCCACAGCGCGAAGCCGACGAAGGAGACGGCCACGAAGGTCCTCGCCGTCGCGGCCACCGTCACCGCCACGTGCACGGGCGGGTGCGGCGATCTGGCATTACTATTCCCGGTCGTCGAATTGGCCGGAGCACTCGCCACCATGACCGAGCTGGTGGGAGGCATCGAAACCGTGGACGCCGGCGGCGACGGTGTCGTGGTTACTAATAGCGTTTGATCGTGTGTAGTGGTAGCTGATGTTTGTTCATCTTTTTCATGCAGTAGAACACTAGACACATAATTTTCTGCTCTGCATTTCCCTCCTCTCTAATGTTAGTCTGTATGTGCAACATTTCCCGCCCACTTCCAGTCCGCCGGCGACGACGTGCTCTCCTCCACCTGATTCAGCACGCAGACCAGCTCCACCGCGTCGGCCAGGGTGAGGGTGGCGAGGCGCTCCCCCCATTTCCTGGTCGTTGTGCTGCGGGCCCTGGCGGACGGCGTCGGCGACGGACCCGTAAGCGGATAGCTCGGCGATGAGGTAGGGGTTGGGAAGGGCGGTGAGGTAGTCGGCGTCGGCGGCATCGTGGGAGCAGTCGGGGATGAGGAGGAGCAGCTCGAGGAGGCGCGCTCGCCTGCCGCCACCGCCGCCTCTCCGCTGACGCCGCCTTGCCTTGCCGCCGCCCTCCCCTTCTCCCGTGTCTCCGCCGCCGCCGCATCGCCAGCCGGCCGTCGGACCTCCTCGCCCCGGCGACCTCCTCCCCACCACCGGCGGCCTGCCCAGAGAGAAGAGAAGAGTGTGAGAGAGAGGAGGAAGGGAGGAGGGGGGAAGAGAGACATGTTGATGTGGCTTACTAACATGTGGGGTCTACGTGGGTCTCGCACTGACTCAGTAGCCACATCGGACAAAACTAGTGTCAAAACCACCGAGAGACCTAGTTTGTACTGGTTTTGTAAGTTGGGGGATACGTTATATCCGGTTTTGTGATTGGAGGACGATTCTGTAACTCGATGACAAGTTGAGGGACCTTCGGTGTACTTTTTCCTCGTTTTTAATGATGTTGCTTCTACTCCTGCAGTCTTTGCATATTGTCTCGTAACAGGTAACACAGCCCATGGGCTGATACCAATTTTTTAAAACAAAATCGCATTTCTGTAACTTCTTATTATTATTATTATTATTATTATTATTATTATTATTATTATTATTATTATTATTATTATTATTATTATTATTATTATTATTATTATTATTATTAAAAAATTCTGCCGCCCTCCGTCTGTCCAGCTCATTTGGCGTCGCCGCTGCTGTCATGGACCGGATTGTGATCGAAGTAATGGCTTGTTAAAAAAATGTTTATGTATGTCACATCAGATATGCGGACACACATTTAAAGTATTAAATGTAGTCTAATAATAAAATAAATTACAAATTTCACCAGGAAACTGCAAGACGAATTTATTAAGCCTAATTAATCCGTCATTAGCAGATGTTTACTGTAGCACCATATTATCAAATCATGGCGCAATTAGGCTTAAAAGATCCGTCTCGTATTTTTCCGACAAACTATGTAATTGGTTTTTTTCTATATTTAATATTTCATGCATGTGTACAAACATTCGATGTGACAGCGTGAAATTTTTTTTTTTTTGGAAACTAAACATGCAATAAACAGAAAATATTCTACTCCGTACTAACTTGCAAGGACTCCGTACCATAAAAGGCTTTCACTGTGGAGGCTGCTTTTCTTCCTAGACGGAGAAGAAAGCGGTTGACAGACGTAAGGAAATGGGAATGGCTAATACTCTCTCCGTTCTAATATGTCATAGTTCTAACTTCTATATATGTCACATATGTATTAGATTATACTTATATTGTGACAGAGGGAGTATGAGAATCACTAAATACCAGGCACCACAAAACGAATTTCCACGAAGTAGTTATCAAACAAAAGCCTTTAAAAGCTTAAACCGTTCTGAAAGCACACAAACAAGGGCCTTTAAACAAATTTTAAATAGTGTAGATCATATTTACACAGTTAAAAACAATAGGTACGAAAAGCAGCAAATGACCAAAAGCTCAGAAATGCCTGTATTTACTGTAGCCGTTGTTGCAAAAAAAAATCATTCAGTGAAAGGAAGAATATTTACACCGGGCCAGCTGGTTACAGCATTGTATGGTCTACACTCTAGCGCCCATTTCAGAAGAAACAAACCGTCTACGCGGCCCGCATTGACCCGAATAAATAAGAGTTATTCTTGATCGGCCAGCCAACTTCGCCTGATGCAAAAGCACGCCTTCATTTTTATTGCCGAAACAATTTGCCTCGCCGGTGGCAAGGAAGAATTGAAAATGGTCACTCCATTGCCTTCAAAATCTGTCAGACCGAAAGTACAATCAGGGAATCGACAACTTTCCAATCCATTTTGTTGATTTTCTGTTTCCTTGGCCGTTTGGGTTTGTTTGATGCTGTTTGGAAACCACCCGAGCGGCAATCAATTCAATGGCCCTTCGAAAAAAAGGCCAGACTTCCATCCCCGTTGTGACTGAATGCGAGGCTTGAAACATATCTTCTATGATCCTCTGACGGTGAAGGTAGCCATCTTGGCATCGACCAGCAGAAACCTGATTAAGAAGGACCAATGCACAGAAATAAAATACAATGAGGATCTAAAAGCAACTGTAGCACTAAAGTACAACAGTAAAAGATCACCAAGAAGTTATAGAAGATTTTATACTAGTTTAGATGTAATTTAAGTTAGAAGAACAGCCATAGTGTGAAATGATTAAGTATTTGTACCCGACATTCCACCAATAAAATCTCACAACCAAATACAGTATGTAGGCTATCACTTTCAAGTTTCAGCGGCTACACCCCAGGGCCCAGGCTTCATCAGAAAAGGACGACTACACGTTTATCATCTAGGAGTAATAGCTAGCTAGCTTGAAGCCTGGAACTCTATTGTATATAGATTCTTGTAATGAACAAAACAACTAGTCAAGAAATAGTTGACAAAAAAGATGTAGATATATCACATCTTTCAACTATAGGTTTGTCTAGCATTCTCACACTTGTGCTATGGTACATAGGTTGATAGTACCATAAAAACTAGGTGAGTTCAACCATACCACAATGTTAGACTGAGAAAAACCTTTAGATCCTGCAAAGTGGAAATGCTTAGCTAGGAATTGAGCCTAAAGATGTAAAGGTGTATGAATAATACATGCCGATTTTGGTCAAAAATAATAATACATGCCGATCTGAAATATGTTATGAAGGATGTCCCAAATCAAATACAACTAGCTTAGCTTGCACTGAAGTATACTATTGAGGATAACTGGATGATGCCATGGACATAGAGCATGCAGAACTAGAAGGATAGAAGCACATACACGAAGCGGCAGGACAAGAGTACAAGACCAATACTGGCATACTGCCAAGGCATCCATCCAGGAAGAAGTTACACCTGAAGGAGTACAGCAAGATGGTACGATGATGGTTTTGAAAGTGCTCGAGAGAGATTCCATTGGATTAGCATATGATAAGGAAATAGAGCCCGAAGAGCATTAGTATTCAATTAATTTGTGTATTTTTCCATGTCCAAGAGAAAAACACGTGTTCAGGTGTCAGGTCAGACACTCGCCAAGTCTGTCTATCCCTCTTGTCTTTTTTTTTTATAATAGAAGCTTTATTAAAACTCAGTCAAATACACTAAGAAAATACATTTCAATTGAGCCCACTCTCGGCCTCTGCATAAGATGCACACAGCCACATAGGGGTGAAAACGGTACGGAAACGGACGGAAATCATCTTTATCGTTTTCGTTTTCATATTTTTTTCGAATCGAAATCGGAAACCTCGGATACAAAAACGGAATCGAATATTATCGAAACCGAAAACAGAGCGAAAACGAACCGGCACGAATACGGTAACGAAAATTTATTGGAATAAAAAAAACCCCCTAAACTGATAAACCCAATTCTCAAGTCTCAATGGTCAACAATTCATCATAAAACACAATCATATAAGTCCAATTGTTAAGCATCAACTATACATCATAAAACACAATCTGTGTAATAAATTAGTAATGCTGTTGATAAATCCCAATGCAGAAAAAAATATTCTTATGTAATTTTAGATTTGCATAACAAATATTTTTAAAAAAAATAACAGCCAAACACCATAGTATTAACTATTTAGTGCTTAAAAAAAGAATCCAATGTATTTTGTAATTAAAAAAAGAATCTATTCCGGAAAGTTTTCATACCGTTTTCACCCCTACAGCCACACACAAAGAAAGAACTATGTAGACCCCCTCACGAAACAGAAATATTAGTGGCTATCAACATATAAACTAGTTCGCCAACCATGCTCCTGAGTAAAATACTCCCGTGCCACCTAGTCCAAAAGTCGCGATACCATCATAATAGTATCCCGAAGACCCGGTTTGGGGAGGATAGCCCAGGTGCGAAGCCACCGGGTGACTAAAGTAATAACCTGCAAATGAGAAGACACCATCTTGTTATCAAAATTACCCCATTTCTGCTTAACCAAATGAACCAACAAAGAGACGTTGCACCCATCAAAACCAGATTTCTCTTGTCTTTAGGAACATATGTAAGCCAACGCCCAAACATATGAATCAATATTTTAAGGAGGTTGTAAGTTATAGACCATATGAATAACAGACCAAACTAAGCGAGTAAGATGATATTAGAAGAACAAATATTGAATGGCTATCCCTCTTGTCTAGAAAGTAGAAACTCCAATCATATTCAACCTATGCCTGTTTTCTGGCCATCCTCTGCACAGTGGTTATCTCGTTGTGCAGTAATCTTCGCATTCGCTAACACATGCTTCAGTCTATTGAATTGAATTGTACACAGTGGTGGAGCCAATGGATGGCTATGCGAATATAATATTGGTGTAACATAGTTTCGCTTTACTTGAATAAATTTTGCCCATTTCAATTGAAGAACATTATATATAAGCAGTTCCATTGGTTAATCTGAAAAAACAGTGATACAGCTAATGGGGGCGGCTAATGGGCGGGCCCATCCCCCCTATACACTACTTTCTTCCTTCCTATTTCTCTTCTTCTCTTCCTACTACACCATAAATTTTTAAAAAATAAAAAAACACAAAGTTGAAAAACATTATGTATATAAATACTATATATAAAAAATTTAAATTCAAATTTAAATTTAAAACGGGTATGTAAACTTTTGACTTATAAACTTTGGGTCTATAAACTAATATTTGAATTCAAATTCAAATTTGAATCGGATATAATTCAAATTCAAAGTAGAATCAGGTATGTAAACTTTTGACTTATAAACTTTGGGTCTATAAACTTTAGGTATATAAACTTTAGATGTATAGAAATACTATATAAAAATATATTTAAATTCGAATTCAAATTTGAATCAAATATATAAGCTTTTGATTTATAAACTTTGGGTCTCTAAACTTTAAATGTGTAAACTTAAGGTTACTAAAATAGAAAAGTAATGCGGTGCCAAAAAAGAAAACCACGAAAGTAATACGGTGCCAAAAAAGCAAAACCACGTGAAGGTGGAGGAGAGGAGGGCATGCTAGGGGCGATCAATCGCCCCTTAGCAATCTCGGGCAGCTTTTATGTTCGACTAGAGGCGAACGCGCGCGTTGCGCGCCGCACCAGTGGCGTCTAAGAGGGGTGTTTGCTATTACTTACGTAAAGAGAGCGAGTGAATCAGCATTACGGCATATGAGTACCAATTCTATAATGTACAATTTAATATTCATTAAAAAATAAATCTGATTCTGTAATATAACATGTCCAAACATCTTCAATCTTCTATGATCAATTTGCCAACACGAACAATAGAGTAGGAATTACACATAACATAACACTGATGCATATAAATGAAATCAGAGTTTTACACGATGAATGTACCGATATATATGTAAAACAAAATCATAGTTTTACATAATAATATGAGATAATCCGATGAAAATTTGCTACGAGGAGATTCACTCTACTCGTGCAAGCCTTATCTGACAACTTGGTCAGGAGGGTCAGGCCCTGCTTTCTTTGATGAGCACAAAATATAGCTAAATCATCTGGAGAACCAGGTTTTGGAAACAGAGAGCAAACAATCTGCTGCAAGATGCTTTTTCACAAATTGAACAAATCCAGATGGATCACGTCAACTGTAAAAATATCACTCCAGTCCTAGATTTCCAATACTGAAGACCAGTTATTAGGAACAGTTCTAAAGTAGTTCTAAAGGATACACTCACCACTGAAACTGAAGCTAGTTGTTTGAGATGTCAGGTTGAGGAGATTAATGTTTATTTCTTCAGAAATGACGTTCAAAAACTGCAAGTTAACAACAAATTAGGATGCTCATGAGCTACTAAAAACACATATGAACTATAGCAGAATCAACTGATTGAAATGACAAACATGAAGCATAGTCCATTCTTTAGAAATTGACCATGCTAAAAGAACAAAGGGCTTGAAGGGCTTATAAAATTACAAAGAGCAACTGGCTGAAGCTGGTACAAACAAGTCTCAAGATATAGTGCTATCAAGATGGCATTTAGCAGTTTAAAGTCTTCCTGACAAATCTGAACTTTGATTCAGAAATTAAAAGCTAAACTTTGAATAGTTGGGTTGTCATCTGGTATGCCAGCTGGCCTTGCTTACTTCCTAGAGCTCAGTGGTTTTGAAGTCCTAGCAGTACATATTCAGAAATTCAGCATTGAACTATCCAGTCTCAACAGTACATGTTAAGAAATTCATACTGATGGTAAAACTCAAAATTTGGGTAGCTATAGGTTTGGTGATTACACATTATAGTATATACTGTGTTGAATATTGCCTTGTGAAATACTGGAGGGGAAGTCATAATTAGTTTTCTATATTTTTGGTTGGTATATGTAAATAGAAAGTATATGTAGATATTGCTTACTATTTTGCTTTGCTCAATAACTGTCTTATTAATTGCGATAATGCAAAATTTCAGAGAATAGTCTAGGAACAGCAAAGCAGACATTCCGGAACTCCCAACTCTTGGTTTGGTCGAAATTTTGATATGTCTTTTAGCTGTCCTGTTAATTGCGATGATATAAAATTTCTTAGAATAGTCTAGTATTTTCGAATTGTCCTTGATGAAGCTGCTTGTTTTAGCTGTTATTGCGACAGTATTGGCACTGAAGTAGATGTCCTTAAACATGGATTCTTTAGTTAATCTGTTTTGGCTGGTATTAAAATTTGAGAAGTCATGATCATTGGGTAGAAAGGAAGACATACATGGTTAATTTGGCAATGGACAATAAAGTCACCTGATTTTTTGGACTTGATGTACGAGTGATATTGCATCTGTTGTTCACCTCTAGAGAATGCACATCTGAAATGGAAGCGATGAGGAACTCAGTAATGAAAGTTACATCAGGTATTAAAAGCAGTGACAAGTGCAAACCTTCTTCCGTGCCATCTGATGTTAGAACGACATGCTTTTTCTTAGGAGATAATTCTTCGATTGTGGTACATTTGTTAGTTTGATGTGCAGACCTTGTAAACTTTGTGCTGGCTTGTTTTTCGATGTAGGAGCAATGCGATGAGTGAAAAATAAAATTGAAAACCATGGCCTCTGATCTGTGAACCGGTGCACTCCAAAAACTTTTTCCGGCCGTTCACATGTATTAGAGTTTTTGCTCTGTCTTCTATCTGTACAATTGTTCCATTGCCGTGACATGTAAGCAGCGCCCAAGGAATTTGGTTTATTGAAATGAAGTTACTTTTATATAAAAATCATATATAGATATTCTGCCTCCAAACTAATGCAAACGTAGGTTTAAAAGAGGATTATTCAGAAGCCTATGAACTGATAAAGTCTAAGAAGTAAAAGAAAAATAACAGCACAGTTTTTTTACCTGAAATCTGTAAATCAGTTTGGACAGAACATGCTATTTTCTCAAGGCCAAAAAAGTTTTGTAGTATTTCTTTCTGAAAATCCTTAAAAGTGAAGCGCTCACAGCATTTTGCGCTGGTAAGAGCTACTAAGAATTAAAGAACCAGCGCATCACATCAATAACCAATAGATATGTAGAGCATGAAGTTACCAGCAGATGAATAGCTCACATACATGTTATTGCCAGGGCAGAAAGCAACCAAAGAAATCCCAGCATCACTGCATGAAAGAACTAAATAAAAATGATAGTAAAAGAGCACAAGAAAACATTTGTCATTGACCTTATAAACATGTAACATCCTATGCAGCTCATAAATGACGGGGGATAAAAAATATTGGCTACCATGGGACACTTGGATCCAAAATTTCAGTGTAACAAGCCCACCTAATCCTTCTTTAGAAAGTTTGACATCAACGGTGCAAATCAAATTACCATCGACGGACAATGGATCTGAAGAAATGTATATTTGTGTAAAGGAAAGCATGGTTTTCATCAGAGCAAAATACCAGCGGCCTCGGCGGCGGGAGTGTAGGCCTCCGATTGATGAACGTGAAGACGATGGAACACTCCTCCCGGAGCAGCATGCCGTGCTCCACCGCCAAGCTCAGCTCCTCATCCATCAACAATTATCTCTAGATAGTACATGATAAGAAACAGGTCTCAGCTAATGTAATTTTTTTAGTGTTGGTAATGACAAATCTATCTCCGTAGTGAACAGTTTAACAACAAAAGTATCATCATAGTAAAGGATGGTTAAAAAAGCTAAACATTAATTTAATGCAAGCATTTGAACCACCCATGGAGTACAAATTTAATCACCACAGTAGGGGGGCAAAGAAGTTTAAACCAAAATCTACTTTGGCAATTTCAAGCCATAGAACAAAAATATTCAGAGAAAAGGAGAACCAACCTCATACTCATGATCGATTGCAGCTTCTGTCATAGTAAAAGCATATCTAAGAACATCAGAAGCATCAGAGTATGAAAGAACCTTTTCTTTTGTCTCATGGTGAGACGAAAGAGTTGCCACATTTTCTGGAAGAATCCTAGAAATCAGGAGGGGAGAAAACATCAGTTTTTCATGTGTCTATGATGATAAATAATCAGATTACTAATGCAAGTGCAAGTTCCATTAGATATAAGTTAGTACGCTGCAACTGTAAGGTAAGAACAGGACAATAACAACATGAGCATGTAAAAAGTGAGAAAGAAAAAGAGTGGAGATTGAGATTTCAGACTTATTATTATGTGCCTCTTTGGTCCATGCCGATGACAAGTCCTGCAGCTGTCGCTGGCAACACCCCATCTCCCCCGCTCCATTCCCAGCGAGACTACGACAACACATGCAGTGAAAAGAGTACACAACGTCACAACAGCACCTCATTCCTCTCGTCTCACCCTCTCCCTCTCCCCCGCCGCCGCCGCTCAGCCATCCTCCTCCTCCACCGTAGGTCCATCCTGCACCCAACGTCGCCTTTGCCGCGCAGAGGTTCCCTCTCTGCCCTTGAGAGAGAGAGAGAGAGAGAGAGAGAGAGAGAGAGAGAGAGAGAGAGAGAGAGAGATCTATGGAGAGATGGGAGAGAAAGGGGAGGGAGGGCACCTCTCTGCTTTTGCCTGAATCGAACATATGCCACAGTCAACCACACTGCCGCCCGCCATGGCCGTCGAGGCAGGGAGGACGATGGAGGCGACGCTGGGGAAGGAGGTAACGGCGGCCACCGACCATGTTGCTGCCCGAGTTCATCGGCAGATCAGCCTGGCGACGGATGGTTCTCCTCTTCTCGCCGCAGCCACCACCTTCATTGATGCCGGCTCTGTCACCACCGTCGCTTCTTGATGGCAGCAGCAACGGAGCGCGGAGCAGCGGCCGTCGACGATGGTGGTGAAGGACGCAGCAGGGGTGCTCGGCGATGGCGACGGCAGCGGAGGGTGGGTGCTACGGCGGTGGCGTTCGACAGTGGCAGAACGAAGCGGAGGCAGAAGTGGCGATGCTCGGCGACGGCCGAGGCGGAGACGCTGTCCGGCGCACGGGGGGGAGCTCAGATCCGCGTCCCCCGACCACATGGACGTCGGATCCGGACGCCGGCAGCCGGAGGCGTGAGGCAAAGGCGGAAGCAGCGGCGGTCGGCGACGCCGGCCGCCGAGGCGGAGATGGCTGCTCGCCTCGCCGACAGCAGCGGAGGTGGACGTGACGGCGACGACGCGAGGGGTAGGCTGTAGGCAGAGGCGGCGGCGGCGGCTAGGGTTTAGGGGTAGGGAGGAGAGGAGGAAAGGAGTTTTTGCGCAAAGGCCCCTCAGTTTCCACGATTCAGGGCGCGGTCCTATTTTCTCGTTTTTGCCTCCTTCGTATATGATTTCGTAGGACTCTAAGGTCCTAAACGTAATATTTTTAAACTGGAAAATTCACAGCGAGGACATATAACGAATAATCTATAAAAGGGAGGACTTTTCTGCAAAATGGCGCCCTCCAGCGCCCGGGCACGTGTCGCAACGCAACAACGTCCACGCCAGGCCAAAATTCGGAGGAGCGAGCAGATTGGGGTCACTTTGAAGACTTTAGATTAGTTGTTGGACCTAATGTCTAGTTCTTCACCAAAGAGCTTAAAAAATATAATGGGGCCAAGGTCCGTCTTGGCCCTCGTTAATCAGTAAGTTCTGTCCCTGGAAGGGACCTAAAAAGGATATCTATAGCACTCGTAAAAAGAACAGACCTGAAAGTACCACTGCATATTGGTACATCACAATGTACTAAAGTTGATAATAGTTATGAATTATTAATATTGGGAGCTCATCTGAATTCTGAGATTTAGTCATTAGTCATTACCATTATTGATATTGGGAGCTCATCTGAATTCTGAGATTTAGTCATTAGTCATTACCGTGTCAATATTCCACAATTGGGCCTGTGCCATTCTAAGTTCTGCTAGTAGTCCATGATTCCATTTCTCGTGAAATCCATCCTATAATGTACATTGTGTATACTTAAGAATATATTTCGAACAGAATAGAAAGACAATCAGGTCCAAAAATATGAGTAAAACACCTGCGGTTGTTCCAAGACTTTAAACTTGCCTGGCTGGGTGGCTGGAATCTGTACATAGTATATACTTCGAGCTGATGCTTCATTGTGACAGTAAATCAGCCATATAGAGAAGGAGGGGGTGTGCAGGAGAAGCAACCCACCAAAAAATTCCCAAATCAAGCAAGACATACAAGTTCACAAGCCACAAGGCATAAGATTCAAGATATACACAACATCACAGAACTCATGATAAGCAAGAACACATCAGCAATGGTCCACGTAGAAAGGTTCGTATATCAATAGTTATCACAAGACGGACTGAATTCTGGATTTAACAAATAAAGTAACTAAGGTCCACGAGAAGATTTTCTCCTGCAATGAGAAGATGCCCGTCTATTCAACCAGCTTCATTAAGAATAGGATCATCACGGGCACTGTAAAATCGAGTAATTAGCATACTTATAGCAACACAAATATTCCACAAATGAACTGGATATAAGGATCTGATGGCATTCTTTCCTTCTCCAAATTTAGTTATGAAACAAATTTGGAGGCGGCAAAGTGACCAAATCATCAACATTTCAAAACTCTATTGAACTTGAAACTTTGAACAAAATTCAGCAAAATTTGACATGGAAGCCATAAAAATAAAACTTGGTTAAAATTCCTCACTGCCTCCCTTTAAATAATGTTGAGATTCATTAAGAAACGACAAAAAGAAAGTTTACAAATTTAGGGGAAAAAAGAATTGTGAGCTGGCTAGTTTGCCTCCTATGAAATTCATCATTTTTTACATGATTTTAATGCATATAATTAATATGAGTAGATATTAAAAACACGCTACCTTTGGTAAAATTAACACTTTTTTAATCGATTAACTTAAAAAACAGACGCTTCAAAGTGTTCACGGTCTTTCAAGCTTGTACATCCATTGGGTGGTTTTGTGAAATGCTTTTGCAGCAAATAGTGTGGTTTTGTTATAGTTGCTGAAAGTTTTGTTTTTGTGATCCATTGTTCTAGTACCTGATGAGCTCTGAACGGGATATGGGGTGGCAGTTCCTGCTGCAGGGTACCTGCCTGCGGCCATACAGCACAGGCAGAAAGCTGCTGCTGTGGAGGAGAAATAAAAACAGGCCACTGCATTGGAGTAACAGGAGGTCCAGGCAGAATTGGACCAGGAGTAGCGAACGTCTGCATTGCGAGCGATCGAACCGAAGGACAGAATGGCTGCGATGAGGATGGCGGAAGCATGGTACCACATGCAGAAAACTGCTGCGATGGGCGTGGCGGAGGCAGAGTACCAAAAGCTGAGGGCTGCTGCGTTGGGGGAGGTGGAGGCAGAGTTCCACCAGCAGAGAATGGCGGCCTATGCCAGCGAACAAAGTTGGGTGCAGACAAAATGAAATCATTTTCCCGCTGCTCATATCCATGCTGAGTGAATTGATTCTCAGGATGCCTGAAGTACATCAAATCCAAGAAAGAAAAAATAGTCAGCAAAGAGCTTGGAAATATACAGCAAATTAAACAAAATTAATATCATTAGTGCAGAAAACTAAACAGCACAATGCTCTCATAACACATAGATAAAACTTACCTCGGGGTTGTGTTCGCAGTTGCACGGGGATCATTTTCAAAGCAACATGTTTGTGCCATATGGTAACCAGCTGTGTTTCTAAGGCCTACAAAAGCAATTATTATACATGATTATGCTCACATTGCCTCACTATAAAGAATTCAGTAGGAAACTAGTAAAGTTTAAACATTTAGCAGAAATGATCAAGTGTCAGAATAAGCACCATAAGTCGACGAAACTGGAGAAAGTGATGGTGGGCATGACCTCCAACTCAGAGCTGGTTTGGCAACTCTCGCAGAAGGCCAGCCACGAAGTGCAGGAGACCATCTCGTGGCTGATCTTGACCTTTTGTTTCCAGCCAAACAGTTAGACTCAGGCATAATGCTCTGTGCAAATAAGGAAGGGAGAATTAAGTGATCGGAATTTTTTAAAATAGAAGTGGCATTAAGTTACTTACAGCTGCTATAGTTTTTGGATGATTCTCATTACTGCTTGTTTCGATGAACCGACCTATGTTTTCAGGACCTGCAAAAGCCATTATACTAATAAGCATAATCATAATCATAGGAAATCGGCAAAGATCAGGTGTGCTCAACACTTTTTTTTAGAGGAAAAGAGAACTTCATTACTTAAATGAAACAGCTAAATCGTTGTTCACCAAGTTACAAACAAACTCAGGAAATTCCCCTAACCAAACTACAGGTGTAGAGGAACCCAAGGCACATTATCACATCAAACTATTACAAGCTCTATGACAATACACAACCTTTGTCACATCAAACTGCAGAGAGAATAAGTTCCTAACTTCACGAATCACAGCAGCATTCATACCATTATCTAATTCATCATCCTTAAGAGCTTGTACTAGTTGTTCAGAATCAGTTTCTACAATGACATGATTTATACCAAAACAGATAACCAAATTGAGAGCTTCAAAACAAGCCATTACTTCTGCATGTAGTGCATCTTGTAAATTCATTAGACTACCAGCTGCTGCCACGAAAGGTTGACCTTAGCAATCTCTCACAATTACACCCCAGCCACCCCTGTTTGTTTCAGCATAAAAAGAACCATCTATGTTTAGTTTCAGCAACTGACCCAATGGAGGTATCCATTTGGCAGTAGGCTTTTGTCTAGTGGGAATTATAGATGCATCTAAATTGTCTGACTTATGAGTTCAGAGAATATTTAGGTGTGCACAACACTTACCAGGTAGCACTGTCAGATGGTGGCATAATACACAAGACCGGAACATCTGCACAAATGGGATATGCCTTCCATTACAATACGGTTTGAGAACTTTTATTGTCTTTTTTCCAATGTCAATGGAAGACACCCAACCATTTAAATCTTTAAATTTCACAGTGCTCTTGAGGTAAAGAAGATCACCAGCACCATTCAGGCTCAGGGTGGGAAAAACTGAGAAGAGATCCCTGAATCTTAACATCTCAACACCTTTGTCTCTTTGTGTAGATGTCAACACCTCATATGTTGATTGCATGTCATCACTGTCAATCACGTAACCTTTCTGCCAGCAATTTGACGAAATTAATCTACTCCAAGTCACTGCCCTCCAACCATCACCAACAAAGGATGGTGTCTCCTCTTTGGGCAAATCGTCCATGTGTGCACATGACATCAGGTATGAATCATCTAAAACATCCCTGTCACAAACATCTTCTTTAGATTCTTGACGGACATCTTCTAGCTCTTGAGGAATAGGTTGTATTTTCCTCTGTCGTTGTTCCAACTCAACAAACTTGATCTCACCGCTGCTGCTACAAATGACATCCCGAAACAACATAGGGCAGCTTTCCGAGCGATTGGATGGGCGAAAACTTTCCTTGTTGAGTGGCATGGGCTCAGGCAACGGGACATACTGAATCTGAGGTTGTTCATCACGTGCATTGAAAATTAAAATTCCATGCCAAAGATCAACCCAACCTAGTAGACCCCTCCCAAGATTGATCACCTTTTGAGGTCGAATAGCCCTAATTCCAGGAGACAGATCCAACTTTCTCGTGCTCCAAGTCTTGGTGGTGGAAGTGTAGACGTAAACTTCATAGTGGGTCAAACGGTTGCGAAAACCAACAAGTAAACAGCTTCCCCCATCATCATTGTCACAAGATGCTATGCCTAGCAAAGAAAGGTAAAAGATAGGAGAATTATAACCTGTGGGATCTTGAACCCGCTCTAGTGATGGCAACCCTGGACCCGCCCTGTAGATGAAGAATTCAGAGAGCAACGGCGAGGATAAGTGAACGCGGAGGACGACAAAAGCACCTTCCCCGGCCACTATGATGGGCTCGGTGAAGAACTCAACCTTAACCCTGGGATTGTAGCAGTGCGCACAGAAATATGAGATCACAGGCGCCTCGGCGAAGCAGAAAGAGATTTGCACGGTGTGACCATCTCTTGACTGCGCTGTTGCGGTTGTAGGGTTCTTGCAGTCGGCGATGTACGCCCGGTTAGCCAGAATTACCGACTCCGGCCAGCAGCGGGAGGCGGCGAGATTGGGTAGGGAGGGGGGATTGAAGGATTCGCGATTCATGATTCTTCGGGACATTGTCGGAAGAAGCGGTGGATTTGGAAATTAGGGTTTCCTTTTTCCTCTCGTGGAAGTGGCGCACGGTGGCGGCGGGTTGGTGGCGCTCGACGGTGGGGCGGCGAGCTGGGGCGGTGGCGGAGAGAGGCGGCGGCGGCAGCGGCGGCGTTCGGCGGCGGGGTGGTCGCGATCGGGGGTGCCGATGCCGGTGGCTGGTGGCTGGTGGTCGGGGCGCCTGCCGTCTTGAGGTTGAGGGACCGACCGATCCACAGAGAAATATCTCTCTTTGATCTGACAGGTGGGTCAGGGGAAAAATTGTCCACGAGCCTTTAAAAAATATAGAAATGAAATTAAGAAATAAAAAATATATATGTCTATATTTACTATTATAAAAATTAAAAATATTTCCGCTAATATTTTAATACGTGATTCGTATTTGAGTCAGTTTTTAATTCCTTTAACTTTTGAAAATACATAAGGAGTCGTGTAATAACCTATTTTAAAAAACTCATATGTTACTTGGGATGAGAGTCGGATTCCTAACTGCTTCATAATTTTTACTAGGCTATAAAAAAGCAGCGTACGGATGAGAGTTCCTAATTGGATATAAATACAATGAAAATAAAAAAAATCTCATAGACTTTTAATAAAAAAATTCTAACAATAATACGATTAAAATAGCTTCACCCGTTCTTCTCTAATCTTGTGTTAGGAGGAGTTTTGGTGATTAATGATAACGGTTGTTAGAACTAGCCTTTGCTATCTGTTTGTGATGACAGATTATGTTCTGGCATCAAGAAAAAAAAAGGGTCGATAACTCATATGTGAGAATCAAGTTATAGGATTGTGGATTAATGATAAAAAGGATGATACCTCACATATCGGGAATCAACAAGAGTAAAATATTGATGATAATAATACTTGATGAGATCCCATCATAAGTTGATGGACATGTTGAAGAATATACACCATAGTTAAGATTGTTAGAAATATGAATAAGTTAACCGGAGGTTCCTCAACTTAACAACGATATTTTTTGAGGTCTCTTAACCCACAAAATTAGAAATGTGTACCTCTAAACTCACACAAACCGTGCACTTAAGGTTTTATGACAGTATGTATGGGTGGTTTCGCTGACGTGGCATCCTAGTCAGCAAAAAAAATTAAAAAGTACGTGGGGGCCCACAAGTCAGCTGCACATCTTTTTTTTCTTCTATTTTTCTTCTCCTTCTCTACTCTTTTCTCTTACTCTTTAGTGATGGAGGACGGTGGCCGGCGAGCGGAGCGATGGCGGGCCCGCTCTGGCGGAGCTCGGCCTACCGGCACGCGTGGGCGAGGTGGCGAATGACGATGTCGTAGTGGATGTCGTTGGGCGCGTACCCCGGGAGCGCGCGCATGCGGTCGAACAGATCGCGGGCGCGGCGCCAGTGCCACTGCCGCGACAGCAGCGCCGTCTGCTCGCGCAGGGACATGGTGGCGAGGCGCTCATCGGACGGATCGATGACAGCAGCCTCTCTTGCGCCGCCGCCGCCGCCGGTCAGGGTGGGGACAGAGGGTGGCTCTTGGAGGAGGACAGCGCGCCGGAGATCGATGAAGGGTGTCTGGACTGTGCTGGACGGCGGCAGCTCGCATCCTTGATCTTCCTGGCCTTCCCGTAAAGATCAATCATTGTGTTATATGTGACATCAAGCTTCGAAATTCTAGCAACTCCCTGAATGCCAGATGCACCAGCATTGTCGACATTGCCATGGCACATCTCCTCAAGCAAGAACTGCATCGGTCCACCTGAATCGAGCGCGTTGTAGTCAAGATCAATGAACCCAACCTCGAACCTGCCATTGCACCAGTTATCGAAGAGAGTGGCCACGTCGGAGTAGCGGCCGATGTCCTTGAGGATGAAGACGAAGGTGTTCATGGAAACCGGGAAATTTAACTATTTGCCACTCTTGTGACATGGCAATTAACGATTTGCCACACCCTGTCAATGATATGTGGACCCTTATGTGTCTATGACATATGGGTCTAGTGGCAAATCGTTAAGTAACATCCGTAAGAATGTCAAATAGTTAAAAGCCCCCATGGAAACCTCGTCGGGAGCCACACCTCAGGCACGCATGTGGCGGAGCAGCAGGGGTCTCTAGTCTAATAGAGCCACACCTCTTGCCCAATAGAGCCACACCTCCTGGGGTCTCTAGCCTAATAGAGCCACACCTCTTGCCAAATAGAGCCACACCTCTTGGGGTCTCTAGCCCAATAGAGCCCAACTCACCCATGTGCTGCGACATTTGAAGTATCGACGTCCATGGGCTTCGCTGCTCCATGAGATCCACCTTGTCGCCTTCACATTGCACATGCACATCAACGTGGGTTGGTAGTCGAACGGACCAACCCATTGCCCCTTCGAATGTGATGAAAATGGTGGATTAAATTTTGGATTAAAGTGGCACGCTTTTTAAACTGCTAAACGGTGTGTTCGTACGAAAACTTTCTATATGAAAGTTGTTCTAAAATATCAGATTAATCTATTTTTAAATTTGTAATAATTCAAACTCAATTAATCACACGTTATTACTATCTCGTTTTGCGTGAAACACTTAATCTTCATCTTTATTTTCGGAAGTTTCAAGCACCACCATAGAATGGGAGAAGCATAGCTTTGACAGGATTAAAACCAAATAGCCATTACTCCACGAATTTACCATCACTGTGCTTGCGTTCTCCTCATTGTTGCCACAACAACCAATGTTGTCGTCGCAAAGGCCATGCTGACTGAAGTAATTATACAAGTCAATGCAACACGCCATTTAAAACTATATTTAATTCTATACGCGGTTTATAATTTAGATTCGGTTTAAAAGATGATGGGTGTAATTTAGATTCGGTTTATAATTAAGGGATCTAAGGTGGAGTTTTTTTATTCGAATTAAAATCATGTTTGGCAGGGCTCCAAACTTTAACTCCCAACTTCAAACTCCTACTCCAATTAAAACTAGCTTCTGTTGGAATTGGAGACCCATCTAAAAGTGTTTGGCAATTTAGCTATTGTCGGTGATATGGGACCGGGAGTATCGTGACCAGAGGCTTGAGGCAGACACAATCGCCCACGTGGCCTGGCACCCTCGGGGACGTCGGGCCCGAGGGTGAGGTGTCCGCTCTCCTCCTGATTTCCTCGAGGGGGGTCGGGTTACTCCTGCCCCGGCCCCGAGGGCCGAGGCACCCCGACCCCTTGAGGAAGTTTGCGCCACGTATATGGGATAGGTGAACACGGCAGTGCTCACCTAACCGCATTTATTGCAGTCTGGTCAAGCGTGTCACGCTGCATGCAGCGCAGTGCAGCGCGTTCCTTTATCCGGTCTGTGACCAGTCACAGACCGGTCAGATCACGGGTTAGGTGGCGACTGGCGGTCTGACGCACGCCTTGCCCCATCCCGTCAAGACGAAAGCCTCTAGGCACTCGTCTCAAGCCGGAGCTAGCGTGTTATCTCTTAGAGATGACACGTTAGCCCTGGTTAGATTTATACCAGGCTTCATCCCAACCATTACAGGCAAGATGCTACATGAAGAAGGGCAAACATGCACGTTGCTAAGCTGACACGTGGTGCACAAGGATGACTGATCTGTGACCGGTCTGACACTGGTCGCGTCATCAACAGACAGCCATAATCCCACGTCGCACCTGTTTCCGGCGGAAGTGGGGGTAGGTATGGGCCGTCCCGTCAGAAGGGCACTCGGACAGCAACCGTACCCATCTCCGTCCATTTATGAAGAGAAGAAAAGTCCAGTTTGGAAAGGGAGAGGTGCATGTGGTATCCCCTTGAGATATAAAAGGAGGACCTTGCCCACTTAGAGGGGGGGCTGGGACTTTTGGACTCGAGGCCTTTTCCAGATCCGATCCCAGAACGATTGGGGGCTGGTTCATACTTTGTAACTTGTTCATACACAGATCCACCAAAACACAGGAGTAGGGTATTACGCTTCCCAGCGGCCCGAACCTGTATACATCGCCTGTGTCTCGCGTTTCTTGCCGGCTCGCGATCTTTCCACATACCGAGAGAGCTTGAGATTTCACCCTAAGCCCCCGGCCGAACCGGCAAAGGGGGGCCTGCGCGGTCTCCCGGTGAGGAGCCACGAGCTCCGTCATCTGGCGCGCCAGGTAGGGGGCTCAGCGTGTGTTTTCTGAGCTCTCGCACTCTTCCGTGTGCGCCAAGCTTTTCCTGTTCAGCCTAATGGCCGAGCAAGCAAAGGCGCACGACCTCTCTCCGAGTGTGAGCGGTGACGACGGGGAGCCAAACCCACGCCGTCGAGCTCGTACTCCCCCGCCTCCTCCACACCAAAGTCCTAAGCAGGGGGAGGCGCTCGAGAGGGTCGAAAGATCCGCGGCATCACCGGTCGCGGGCGATGGAGGAGAACGGCGAGATGGGGAGTGTCGCCTCCTCGTCTACGGCGACGGCAGCACGCCCCAGGGCGCACTTCAGGCTGCTGGCGCGCTCCTACGTCACCCGCCCGTCGTTCCTGACCCGGAGTCTCCGGCTCAGCGATGGCTGGACGACGTGGCCAACTTGGTCATGACAGCACAGCAGCGCCTGGGTGCTGGTGGACGGTCCCCCGCCACCAGGACCTCTGGCGCCGCCACCACCGGCTCCGTGTCGTCAAGGCGGAGGGCGCGGCGAGCGGCGGCTGTTGCACGCCATTCGGCTGCCACGCCCTCGTCGGCGCCTCCGACCCGGGAGGATCAACGTGGAGAGCTGGACGCCCGCCTCGACATCGAGCGCCGGCGTAATGATCGGCGTGCTCCCCACGCAACGGAGGGCGCCTCTTCGTCCAGAGTGTCACCTCGACATGGACGCGAGGACCAGCCCTCCGTGCCCCCGGCTGGTGGTGTCGGCTGTAGAGCCTTTGTGGCGAGTCTTCGGAATGTCCGTTGGCCCCCAAGGTTCCGGCCCACCATCACCGAGAAGTATGATGGGAGCGTCAACCCCACCGAGTTTCTCCAGGTCTATACGACCGGGATTGAGGCCGCTGGGGGTGACGACAGGGTCATGGCGAATTTCTTTCCCATGGCCCTGAAGGGACAGGCGCGGGGTTGGCTAATGAACCTGCCACCCGCGTCGGTCCACTCCTGGGAGGATTTGTGCCAACAGTTCACCATGAACTTTCAAGGCACATATCCGCGCCCAGGTGAAGAAGCGGACCTGCACGCAGTACAGCGAGGGGATGATGAGTCACTTCGCTCGTACATTCAGCGGTTCTGCCAA